AAGCTTGAATCTTCTTGTCAAATAATTTCGTTAAGTAGTGGCTGTTCGCAGTGACAGCAATTGTAATAATAGTGGGAAAGGAGTAAAAGTGAGCAGTGATCTCATAGCAGTTAAGTGAGACCGAAGTAAAATGCCCCAAGTCCCACAGCTGGACGGGTCAGAGCGGTTGCTAGAGTGCCAAAGTGTATCTTGACTCAGCGACCCGAGCGTGCGTTCACCTGGAATGTGTTTCTCACCCACACTTGGCTTTCTCCCCATATGTAAATTGGGAGGTTAGAATGAATAAATCAGCTTCTCTATTTCAGCCCTGTTGATGTCAGTGAGAAAAGAAAAGCACAGATCTCCTCTGGGAGGAGGGACTCAATTCTCCCCCCTCCTGGTTCTCTCTGCCCCCGCCTGAGGTGAGGCTAGGTTCTCTTTCTGGAGCAGCCCTTTTCTGGGCCTTGGTAGTGTTAAATCAGGGTAGCCTTGCAAAAATCTCACAGGATCTTGGAAAATCTGAGCTAATTACACCCTTTATTTTGCAATGTGGGGCCTTGGTCACAAGGGGGAGCAGACGGGTCTGGACGGATTAAAAACAAAACTGTCTTAGAATCTTCTCTGCAACTTTTCAAACTTTTCCACCCCTGTACCTGTAATGGCCGAGCTTGACCCCGAAATGACCATGACCCTTAGGGAATCTGGAGGGTGGTGCTGGAAACTTCCAGCCCTGGACAAGAAAAAGGCTTAATTCTCCTTGCTTTCAGATTTCATATTTTTCCATATTACAGGTTGGTGTTATCTTAAGAATGAATTTCCCTAAGTCTTCAGGAAGTCCACAGTGATTATCCTGTGGGTTCAAACACCTCGAGAAGGGGGATCCTGTCTGTGAAGGTAGCGTATGTTTGGTGGAGGAGGTGCTGAAGTTAGCAAATGAAATGTGTCTCTGGTATGCTTAATAACCAAACTTAGGTTCTCAGTGGTTGAACATTCTAGTGAACAGGCGCTACTCAAAAAAGCCTCCCTTGTCTTAGACGTTAAGGATCCACCTGCCACTGCAGGCAACCTGGATTTGACCCCTGGTCCAGGAAGACCCTACACGCCACAGAGCAGCTGTGCTGGAGCGCCACCACTACTGAGGCCGAATCCTAGAGCCCCGGAGCCGCAACTGGAGGGAGCTGGTGCCCAGCACGGAGAACCCAGCGCAGCCAAACCTCAAAAAACACAAACGGCCCCATCACAGCCCTGCATTCCATGATTTCCCTCTGCGCTGCAGACCCTTTTTGTCAGTTTCCTGCATTTTATTGCTAAGTGTAAATGTCCATCTATTGAGGCGTCCCCTACTTGTCCCTGTACAGGTGGGGAAATGTAAGTTTATGTTTTAGTTGGCAGTCAAAAAGAGTGTGATAGCAGCTGAAGTCCTCACACTACCCACCTGATACCCTTCAAAATAATTAGACTTCAGCTAAATTGCTTGAATCCTCACAGCAACCTTGGGGGTAGATACTGTACCCTTATCACAGATAAGGCAGCAGCCTCACCCACCCAAGTCGGGTAAATAGAGAAAAAAAATTTTTTTTTTTTCCTTTTATTTCTGACTGTTTAAAGCAAAAAATACATGTCTAAGGACTTCCCTGCAGGGGGGCCTGGGTTTGATCCCTGGTCAGAGAACTAAATCCTGCAAGCCGCAGCTAAGACCTGGCACAGCCGAGTAAACATATTTTTAAAAAGTTAATACTTGTCTTGTGGGCGTTTGTAAGGGGTGTTGATAATGCTCCGTATGACAACTACAGCATGAAATGCTGGGGAGAAGAGGGTGAGCGGGGCTGTGTGTTGGTAGAGCCTCTGCACTGTAAGTGACATTACACCACCCATAGATAACGAATAGGTAAGGATATGTTTGTGATCCCGAGCAATACTAAAAAATGCTGATAACCCTAAAGGTACATTTAAAAGAATTCTTAGAAAGTATTCAAGTAATCTCAAGAGGAGGCAGGAGAGAGGAAACAAAAACCTGATGAAAACAAAGAAGAAAAGGACCTAATACAAACAGGTCAGTAGTTCAACGAGGGGACTTCCCTGGTTGTCCAGTGGTCAGGACTCCCAGCTTCCACTGGGCCTGGGTTCAATCCCTCCCTGGTCGGGGAACTAGGATCCCACAAGACTTGTGACACAACCAACATTCCCCCCCCTCCACTGACCCCCGCAAAAAAAAAACTTGGGGCCTTGGGCCCTGTGTGTATGTAAGCTTGAAGGAAATACAGAGGCACAAGATGAATACCCAGTACTCATCCACCATCATTTTGCTACTTGCTGTTTCTGCTCACCATTATTTGCTGTTTATTCAATAGTGATCAATTTCAAGTTCATTCCAGTTCACTGCTGTCTGTTCTATTGTGTGACAGCAGACTTGATTTACCCTTTAAAATGACGGCTCTCGCTACTTAGGAGGCGGCTTTGTGTCTTGCCAGCACTTGGACACCTGTGGACGTCCCCTTCTTTTTATTTATTTCTGGCTGTGCTGGGTCTTCGTTGCTGCACAGGCTCTCTTCTATTTGTGGAGAGTGGGGGCTCCTTCCTAGTTGCGGTGCTTGGGCTTCTCTTGTGGAGCACGGGCTCTAGGGTGTGCGGGCTTCAATTGCTGTGGCACCTGGGCTCAGTAGTTGTGGCTCCCAGGCTCCAGAGCACGGGCTTAGTAGTTGAGGTGCACGGGCTTAGTTGCTCGGTGGCATGTGAGATCCTCCCAGCTCAGGGGATCGAAGCTGCATCTCCTGCACTGGCAGCTGGATTCCTTACCACTGACCCACCAGGAAAGCCCCAAACATCCACTTGTGAGACACCCTGGAAGGCACTTACTGCCATAGGCAGGTACATCTTCAGCTTGACAAGGTTTTGCCAGATTCCTGTCCAAAACGATGGTTTGCGTTTCCGTTTCCCTCAGCCTGCCCCTTGAGAAGAGCCACTTTGGGGAATGCCTTGGTGGTCCAGTGGTTAGGATGCTGCTTTTCCACTGCAGTGGGTGCACATTTGATCCCTGGTTGGGAAACAAAGGTCCACATGCACCACACCCCCCGCCCCCAAAAAAACATTTTCTCTGAACTGCCCCTTTACTAAGACACCCAGGGGGAGGGGCAAGGCTGGGTGGGGTCTGAGCCTGTCTGGGCCAGAAGATGCCACAGGAGAAACATTTGGCCCATTACCCTGTTTTCTGGAAGATAGCAGTAGAAGCGCTCCTTCTTGTATTTTCCTTTTTTGGGGGGCGGCCAAACCACTTTGCCCTTGGGATCTTAGTTCCCCTGACCAGGAAAGGAACGTGGGCCCCCTGCAGTGGAAGTGAGGCATCCTAACCACTGGCCCACCAGGGAAATCCCTCCTCCTCTTGCGTTAATTCAACATAGGGTTTTGTGCTTTTAACTTGGCTGTACCTAGTTGTGGCATGCAGGAATTTTGGTATGTGGGATCTAGTTCCCTGACCAGGGATCGAACCCAGGCCCCCTGCATTGGGAACGCGGAGTATTAACCACTGGACAGCAAGGGAAGTCCCTCCCCTTGTATTAATTCAACACAGGGCTTTTTGTTTGTTTTGTTTTTTCAACACAGGGTTTTAACGCTAAGTTAGAGGATGCTTGGGCTTCCCAAGTGGCACTAGTGGTGAAGAACCCGCCTGCCAGTGCTCACCAGGTCTGTCTCAGGGTTGACACGTTCCCCGGGGCTCCTCACGGTGGGACTTCTGAGTAAGTTAAAGGTCATTCACTCATTCTGTGAATCTCAGGCCCCCTGATGTTTTATCCAATAGGAATAAAGTGAGAAAGTCCCCCAAAAGCCCTGTCTTCTCAGGGCTTAGCTTTCAGTGGGAGCCCAGGAGGGGTGCATGAAGGTTGGTCTCCCACAATGTCTCAGAGACATCCTTTAACCAGAGCGACAGACACCCCAGGGTGCTCCAGGCAGTGCCCCGCCACCTCCTCCCAGACGAGGGTCACAGGCTGGGCCCAGGCCCCATTGCGGGGAAGGACAGCTGACAAGAGTATCCACTGTTCCAATCTGATTTTATTGAAAAGGAAACATACAAAAATCATGTACAAAAAAAATTAACCAAACATGTACAGAAAATTCATTCCGGTATCTACAGCAGCGCATATACAGTATTTTACAGGCTGGGCCATCCCTCCCCGCTCCCAGACTCCTCCCTCTTCTGAGATTTTCCCCCCCTCCCTGACTCCCCGTCTCCCCCCAGCGCTTCGCCCTGGGGGCTAAGGCTGGGGCGGCTTCCGCCAAAATATCCCACCCCCCAAATGAATGCCAGTGGTCACACGTGCTCTCTCTAAACCTATGCAATGGGATTGATGGGGGAGCGGGGGGTGGTCGCGGGCAGAGCACAGGATTCACAGTCTGGGCCCCTCCTGGCCACCCCCAGATGAAGGTGAGGCAGGCATGCCCACCACCTGCCGGCTGGCTCAGGGAAGATGGCTGGGCGCTGGGCCGGGGCACCCATCAGGACGCACCCCACTCTCTGGCTCCAGGAGGCTAGTGGTCACGTTTGGCTCATTTGCTCTTCATGGGCCCCCTCCCTGGGAGGAGGGGGGGAAGCACCAGGGGCCTGAGGCCAGGCCCAAAGTGAAGGAGCGCTGGGGGGAGAGACCCCTGCCCCCCAGTGTCACCGCTGCAGCTGGAATGGGCAGCCAGCACCAGCAGCCTTTCCTGAGATGGTGGTGGGCGGCAGAGGGGAGCAGCTCAGGCCCTGCCCCCTCGGTCCCCGCCGCCTTCAGACGCCGAGTCCGTCAGCCCTCTCTCCCCTGGCCCCTCAGCCAGGGGCCCAGGAGTCCACGTCTCCATCAGTGCTCCCCGGGGCTAGGCCGGGGCTGGGTCGGGAGTGGCTGCCCTGGCCCGCCCTGGGTTGGGCAGGGCTGTAGTCCAGTATGCTACATGGTGCAGAAAGAGTCCCCCGCGCTGGCCAGGGCGTCAGGAGTTGGGAGGGTCCTGCCCCCCCGAGCCCCCGACGTCCACCGGGCGGGTACAGGCACCTAGTTGGGCTCCACCTCGGGGGCCCCGCGGCCCCCGGGGAAGGGCAGGAGTCCCATGATGAGATTGTACAGGACTCTCCAGGGCGAGGGGCCGTGTCGCTGCTGCTCCTCTTGTCTCTAGGAAGGGAGCAGAGAGGAAGTTAGGCTAGAGACGACGGGGTGGGGTGCGCAAGGGGTCAGGTTCAAGGGCAGCAGGGAGGTAGGCACAGTCCCTCCACCAGCCCACTGAGGGCCATCCTGTTATTACTGTTCACTGGGTCATCTCCTGGCCTGGAAGAGACTAGGAGGGAGACGATGTGGATGAGGCCCTCAGCATAGAGCCTGTGCAGATCAGCAGACTCCTAGTCCCTGGTCTCCAGATGAAGACAGTCACCGACCGAAGTCACCCGGGCTTGAGAGCTAGGCTGGACTGCAGCCCACCTGCCCTCCCATTGAAAGCTGATGAGACACACAGAAGGGAGCAGACAGCCCTCCTGTCTCAGCGATTCTATAACACTTTCTGCAGGAACTGGGAACTATTCAGTGCTGAAGCTGTACAAAAATATGTTTGGGCCAAGCGAACCCCCAGCCCTTTCCCGAGTGGCAGGATGAAGGCTGGGGGCAGCCTCTGGGACCATCTCAGTTCCACAATGCTAGGAAAGCGGGAATGAAGGAAGCTAGATAGAAAAAAAGGCTGCCCTCCAATAAAAATCAACAACAATATTCAATACTTATGGAGAGCTACAGTTCTCTCCACTCTCTGTGCTTAGTGAAGGCCTAGGTCCTGTGCGAAGGAACTAATCTCATCCCCACCAGATGGGAAGAAGAAACCCATTTTACAGATTCGAACAAGAAGGTCAGATCAACCATGCTAATGATCTTCATGGGTGCCTGGGGGTGGGCTGCCTGGTACGTTTGTCTCTGCCTCAGTCCCCACCGAATTTTCCAGCCAGGAGAAGGTGACCAAGGGGCACATGAGATTGGCAGAAATGCCACCGTCCCACTGTGGTGTGCCACTTGGCACAGTCACCTTGCTGAGCAAGCCAACTATCATTTATCAAGGCTAGGGCCCCTAGGCAGACCACTCAGGTATCTACTGTGGAGACCCATGTGTGTGCCTGGAGATATGCATTTTTTGAAAGAGCCAAAAGAAATAACAATAAAAGTAAATTACATTAAAAAATTTGAGACACTAATGGAATATCCTAAATACCCACCAATGAGAAAATGAAGACGGATACCACATGGTGATCCAATCGAATGCTATGCGATGTGGCAGTAAAAATGAATGAACTGAAGCTCCCTTGCCCACGTGGATGTATCTCAAGCATAACACTGGGGGGGGTTGGGGTGGGAGCAGCTTTGAGAGGAACACACCAGATCACGTTTATTAAGTCTGAAACGCCTCGCAATCCTAAGTATTGTTTGTGGCCTGGTGAATGTGTTGTAAAAGAATCAACGCCCGCGGACCAATGGGACAAGCCAATCTGTGAGGTTTCCTTTGAAAGCGGGGAGGGGAAGAGGGTCAAGGGGCTTCGCAACATCCGGTTTTTGTTTTTTCCTCGAATAAGCAAGCAGTGTGGCTGTAACGTTCAGGTTGGACAGAGCAGGGTGGTGGGCGCCCGGGTGTCTGTTATTCTCCGTTCCACCGCCTCAGGCTTCAAGTATCTGGTTGTAATGAGAGGCCTGGCTGCGCGCCCCGGGGGGCGGGGCCTCCGGCGGGGCGGAGCTCCAGGCCCCGCCCCCAGCCCCCCGGGAAGCTGGGTGGCGCGGCGCCGCCGCCGCAGCCGCCGCGCGGGCGGGTGGGAGGGGCGGGCGCGGCTGCGCCGCCGCTGCTGACTCATCGGCTATAAATAGCCCGGGATATATGAGCCACTCCACCGAGGGCCGCCCTCAGTCCCCGCGGCCGCGGGCCCCGGGCACGCAGCGGTGCTCGCGGACGCTCCGGCCCCGGCCCTCGCCCGAGCCGCGCCGGCCGCGGCACTGGCCCTTCGGCGGCGGCTCGGCGACCACGCCGCCCCTCCCAGCTGCCTGTCCCCGGCTCGACCCCGCCGCGCAGGGCAGCAGCTGCTGCACATCTGGCTGGGCCGCCGCAGCCCCCTCCCCGGCGGGAAGTCCCACCTGCCGTCTACCCCTCCCCCAGCACTCACCCGCCGCTCGTACAGCGCGTTGAGGTCGTCCGCCATCCGCCGCAGCTGGGCCCCGATCTCTCGGGCCCACTGCTCCTCCTCCCCCCGGACTCCCGGGGCCGCTTGGGTGGGGCCGCCCGCCAGGGCCCCCGGGGCGCTCGGCACTGGCGATTCCAGGTGCTGCTCCGCTGGCGAGAGTGAAGGCTGAGGACCTGGGAAAAGCCGGGGCCGGGGTCACACCCACCACCCGTCTAAGGCCCTGCAGGGGCCCGGAGGAGGGCCGGCTGGCTAGGACTTGCTTCTCCCTTTTCCCGTCGCCTGACTTCTCTTCGGATCCCCACCTCATCTCGAGCGATGCCACTTTGCCAGCCCTCTTAAGAGCTAGATTTCTTACCTCTACTCCCCGAGGGAAAAAAGAAGTCCTGGGCAGGCTTTCCTGGGCTCACTTGTCTAGCCAGTTACCACCCCACTCCCCGTGTTAGTCTGGAAGTGCTTCCTCTTGTCCTACCAAAGTTGTTTGTTGATGTTTAGGTCGCTCAGTCGTGTCCGACTCTTTTTGCGACCCCATGGACCGTGGCCGGCCAGGCTCCTTGCAAAACGATTGCCAAATTTTGACTGCTCTACTCAACCGACAGGGAAACTGAGGCTCCCCCTAGGAAGTGGCCCAAGGTCACACAGGGATACGGGGACTGACTACACCCCGAGTCACAAGCCTCGGGTCTCCTGCCCTCTAGTGTCCAACCACAGTGAGGCCACACCCCCGGATGTGGCACAGGCCTGTAAACCAGAAGGCCGGCCCGTGGCCCCCTGTGAGCCTGGAGGCTGGGATGCGGGACGTCCCCGCGCACTTTCTGCGTTCCTCTGACGTCTCTTCCTCCCTCTGTCACGCCGGGTCCTGGCTTGAGCGATCCCTGAGAACTAACTTCGGCCTCAGTTTCCATGCCTGTGACTCTGGTCTAGGAACCGGGTCTCCTCCTGCCTCCGCTGGCCAGGGAAGTCTGCCCTCTCCTGACCTCTCCAGGCTTCGGGGACAGGTGGGGAGGGGAGCGGGGATAACCTCTCCCCTGCCACCGAACGGGCCGGCCGGGCACCACGGAGTTAACAGCCCAACAGGCAGGGGACCTTTAACCCTTCCCTCCCCAAGACCCGCTCCCCCACCCTTTCCCCTAGACAATGGCCCCTCCCCCTCCTTCCTCCTCTCCGGCTGCAGAGAGGGCGGGCCCTGGGCAAAGAGATGCAGATAAAGGCGCCAGGCCACCCTCGACCCCTCCCCGAAGTCCTGAAGTGACAGTCCCCTCTGCCCACACTCTCTCCAGCTGCAGTCCTCACGGGGCTCCGGGGACCCAGACCTGGAGAAGGTGGGGGGCTGGGAAACAGCTGTTGCGCGGGGCCCGGAAAAGGCCGTGGGCTGCAGCTCGCGGACTGCAGTCCGATTCCAGGAGGGACTTCCCAGTCGGCCTCCCCCCACCCCCCAACCTCCCACTCCGTCTTCCTGCTTCTTGCAACACAAAGACCACACTGGCCACACCCTCCCGTGCCCCGGCCGGCTCGCCACCTCCCGCGACTCACTCCCCTTTCCCGGGTTCCTCGGGGTCTCTCTTTTCCCAGCTCCCGGCATCTCGGGTGCGGGGCAGGCACTCACCGTCGGGTCGCGGGCCTCGGGGCCGGCTGCGGGGACCCCCAGGCCAGCGGGGGGCCCCAAGGGCGGCGGTGACGGCGGGCGGGGCGGTGGGGGCGCAGAGGTAGGCGGCGGGCAACAGGGCGGGGGCGGCCGGGGCAGCGGGCAGGCCGGGTTCGCAGAGGCCGCAGGACACCGCCGAGGGCACCAGGCGGCTGAGCGGGAAGGGGCGCGGGCCGTCGCGGGCCAGGCCCTCTACGGGCTCCGGGGAGCTGCCCTCCTGGCGTGCTCGGGCCATGGCGCTCCCTGGGGCCTGCGGGACAGGGCAGAGGGGTGCGGTCAGCAGCGGGGCAGTGCAGGGGGAGCCCCACGAGGTACCCACCCCACGCGGGGTACACAGGGCGCCCCACTTCTGCCTGCATGGTGGGCTGGGGCAGCCCACCAGGGTCCAGGACACAAAGCTGTGATGGAGGGGGCTATAGGTGTGTGTGACGGGCCCTCAGACACCCCCGTCCCGGGGCTGACCCCAGGCCCAGCCAACCCAGAGAGCCTCCCCCGAACATGGTGACCGGCATACAGGAGGGACCAGGGACGCGGAGGCACAGGATGGTTCTCACAGCAAGGACAGGGGCTCATGCAGGTCCCAGACTTGTAGGCCTGTCAGCAGCGTGAGTATAAGGGCTGACAGCCCCCCAACACAAAGTCACCCAACCTGGGACTCACACAGGGCCTGGGCTGCCAGGGTTAACTTTTGGAACACAGCAATGGGCGCACGCACACACGGAGGGCAGCCAGGCACTGCGATTACTCATACAACAAACACCAGGACTCACACAGGACCAAGAGGGGGTGTATGTGGAGGGTACACAACACACACAGGGCTCACGCAGGACTGGCCCGCCCAACCTCTCACCAGGCCTCCTATTTGTACCCCAAAACACTGAGACGGTCCCAGGACACACACACACATACACACAGACCACGGAACAGCTATCCACACACTGCATGCTGGCTGGTACACCCCAGCCCCTCCATCTCAAAAACAGATACACGAACTGTCAGGATCTCACCCACTGACCCGCTGTTAATATGCCCACGGAGCCACAGAGACTCACAATGCGGCCGTCACAAGCACAGACAGACACACCAGCTGGGGCACTGTCACTTCTCAGGCACACGTGCCCCTCCCTGTAAGGCACCCGCAACAGATAAGACCTACACCCCTCTGGATTCACACACATATCAACACAAAACAGACCTCCACGGACACACAGGGACCCGTACAACTGCAACACACCCACTTGTCACCAACTCTCAGATCCCGGGACACACGTAAAGCAGGCACACATGTCATCAGATCTAGATGAATCGCCACATGCCAGCAACAACACGGACAGCAGACATCAACCCACCCTCCTCCCCCAACCTCCAAACACCATTACCAACTGTCAGCCCTGGACACGCGCGCACACACACACTACAGCTAATCCCACACTGGCCTGGAAGGGCGCACACCTAAAGCACCCTCAGAAAACACTGGTCTCACGTGACTGACATAAACACTACACACACGCAGCCCACATGACACGCATGAGCCAGCCGATCACAGAGACAAGCCCCTCAGACTCAACACACGCACTGTCTCTCTCACATACACACACACACACACACACACACACACACACACACACACACACGGGCTCAGACACATCCCTGTACAAGAAGCTGCCAGCAGCACCTACTGACTGCTCTGCCGAGACCCCACAGAGCCTAGCTCCTCAATTCCCAGACGCGGATCCCAGACACACAAGCCAAACACAGACTGAGACAACCCCCCACCACACACACACACACACACACACACACACAACGCAGAACTCACACAGACACCTGGACAGAAAATAGACATCCGCAAACGCTGAGCTGAGCCAGATGCCCTGGAGATAGACACAGACACAGTCCACACAGACAAGACCCACAGCACTCACAAACACAGCCCGTCGGGCAAGATGCACACGTAAACACACAAACAGCTCACTCAGGCAACGCACACACACACCACAACGCAAGCAGGCAACCGGGAGCCACAGACTCACCCCCAAACAGCTCACACAAGACAACTCTCAGAGAGAACACACACAAGTACACCACACATCAACACAGCGCCCACACCCTCAGGCGCCGCAGCATACACGGAGAGACCCCCCTCACACACACACACGGGGACGGCGCCGCACACCCCGACGGGGCCACAGCCCCAACACGCCGCCGGGACTGGCACAACCACTCCCTGCAGACCCCAGCACAAACTCGGAGCCAGACACGCGCACACACCCAGGCGAGACACCTGCAGATCCACCACCCCGCACACGCGCGCTCCCACGGCGGGCCCAGACGCCCCCCTGCGCTGTCATAGTCCCCCCCCACCACGCCGCCGCCGCCGCCACGTGCGCCCGCCCCGCCCGCCAGGCGAGCGCGGGGCCAATAACCGGCTGTTGCTGGGGCGCAGCCCCCGCCCGCAGGAGCCGCAGACTCCTCGGCCCGCGAGCCGCCCCCTGTCGCCGCCCCCAGCGGGCACGCGCCCGGGGTGTGGCCGCCCCTCCACGCCGTACCCCCCCCCACCCCCCGCCCCTCCGGGACTGCAGCGGCCGGGGCAGTCCGGGGCGACTTACTTCCCCGGGCCCGCACTGGCCGCCAGGGGGCGCTGCCGAGCCCGCACCCCATTGTTTGTAAACAAACCCGCCAGACCGCGGAGGCACCTGCGCTCTTGGACCCTCAGTGCCTCCCGCCCAGGGACCCCAGCCTCGTGGAGGGTGGGGAGGGCAGGGAGAGAGGGGAGCCCGATGTGGCGACGCAGCGCGCCCTCCCCCCGCACTGTCTCTCCGAGTGCACTCCCGCCACCTCCTCCAGGGAGCCCACCCGGCCTGGCCAATCGCGGCTGGCGGGGATTCGGGGTGCGCACACTCACCCCGGGGGCATGAACACGCCGGAGGGGATGGCGATTGGGGGCGGGCGGCTTCCTTCAGGAGGGCGCGCCCGCCGAGCGCCGCTCGTTGCGGCTGCTGCCGCTCTAACTGCAGTGGCTGTTGCTGTTGCTGCCGCAGCTGCTCCTCGAACCGCAGGCGCCTCCGCGTCCTGGTCACTGCTACTGCTGCCGCTGCTGCTGCCGCTGCTGTCGTTGTTGCTGCCGCCGCCGCCAGGCGCCCGCTCGCATGTGGCTCTCGCCGCGTCTCAGGCCGCCCGGCGGATCCCGGGCCCGCTCGGCGGCCGCCCCGCCCCGCCCCGCCCCCGCCTGGCGGGTCCCACGCCCCGCCCCCGAGTGACGCCACGGCCCGGCCCGCCCGCCCGCCCGCCGCGGACAAGTCGGGACTTGCAGGCGCGCGCCGCGCCCCCTACCTCGGCGCGGGGGGTTTCCCTGCAGCCGGGGGCGGGGCAAGGCTCGGGCCTGGGGGCGGAGGCGCGCCGATCGGCCTTCCGGACGGGCGGGACAGCTGGACACGCACACACTGACACACTGACACAGTGACTGGGACCCACAGACACACACCCCGAGACGAGTGTGCAGGCTGACCGCCTGGCGCTCCAGGGTACACAAAGCCACGTGTGTCAGGGCCACGGGGCCAAGCCCACTCGCAGACACGCCAGATCCACTCCCTGGACAGGGGCGTGGACGCACAAACTCACGCACTGACGGGGCACTCACCCATTCAGGCACAAATACATACATAACACGACTTCCTAACAGTCTCACTGGGACTCTGTGTCACAGACACAGAAGTTGCACAAACACCCGCACTGCTGAGCACACCTAGGCTCACAAACCAATCATGTTCACAAGCTCCGTTCAGGTACCCACAACACACAAACACACAGTGGTGGACCCACACAGACACCCACTAAGAGCTTGTCTTGTCTTGTCGGCAAACAGAAACTTCCTGATAGGCAGAGCAGGACACACACACACACACACACACACACACGACACCTGTCCCTGGGACACTTGGACACACTGCTTGATCTACAGTGTGTAGAAACACCTACAGGGATCCACCCCCAGCAGCTCACACACAAACACATCCACATCAACTCATAGCCGACACATGAAAACTGTCAAGAAATTGACCCTCCCGGACACAGATCAAGTCGGACATAAAAAGACAAACTCCCCCAACAGACAGTCCCAAAGTCACACCTGTGACAGGTTCCTGCTAACTGGCCCACTGCTGGGACACGCTCCAGAAGCATGTGCACCTGTCTGCACTCACCACGAATCTGGTGAGGGACCCAAAGGCAGAAGAAAGCCCCAGGCAGCTGGCACGGGACATGCCCGGGCAGCCTCTGCAGTGGCTCTCACCCGGGGTTTTCTGCCTTTCAGTTCCCTTTCCTTTCTCAGTCTCCCTTCGTCACTCCTTCCCCCGCTCTGATGTGGTGAGGAGAGGTGGTGTCTAAAGCTCTGGGGCTCTGTCTCCTCTGCACCCTCCATTCCCTTTGCATCACACTCCAAACCCCACGGCGTCATCAGAGGGCAAGTGGCCTCTGAGTACCCAGCAGAGGGGGGCTTGTCCAGGTTCTCAAGTGTGGCCAGATGCTTCGATTTCCCAAGAGCAGAGAATGCAGGTCTCACGTGTGATCTCCCTCCTTCAAATACTGGGGACCAGTTCACCCTCCCTCTCTACTTCCTTTCCTTCATTCACTCAATCATTCATTCATTGATCTTTTCTTCCTTTCTTTCGTCCAGTGTGTTTCATTTTTTTTTAAATTTCTTTTTATTTATTTATTTTGGCTGTGCCACCCGGCTTGTGGGATCTTAGTTCCCTGACCAGGGGTTGGACCCGGGTCCTTGGCAGTGAAAACAGTGTAGTTCTAACCACTGGACCAGATCATCAGGGAATTCCCCTTCCAAACTGTGGGTCATGACCCATGTGTGTGAACCATGTGTTGTGAAATCACTGGTGTGGATCTTATTCTGAATTCACTGAGATGTATTTACATACCATAACATTTACTCTCTTTACGTGTATAGTTTGGGGAGTTGGGACAAATGGACACTGTTGTACATCACCACATCCAAATTTGAACCCTGTCTATTGCCCTCCGAAAGACTTCTCTTGTGCCCCCCCTTTTTTATTTTTTGATATTTTATTTATGTATTTATTTGACTGTGTAAGGTCTTAGTTGTGGCACACAGGATCTTTGATTGTGGCATGTGGGTTGCTGCGGCAAACTCTTAGTTGCCACATGTGGGATCTAGTTCCCTGACCAAGGGTCGAATCCAGGTCCCCTGCATTGGGAACACGGAGTCTTAGCCACTGGACCACCAGGGAAATCCCCCCTTGTGTCCCTTTATAGTCAGTCCCTTCTGCCTGCAACTTTAGTGGCTCTTGATCAGACAAAACAAAACAAAACAAAATAATATCATTTAAAAAATGTTGAAGTCAAAGGAAAATATTGTTTTTGTGAAAATTTTATTATAGCAGTTACATACCAAGTCACAAAGAAAATGGATGTATTGCTGCCTAGAGATCAAATTTAAAGGCGTTTTAGAAATGCTTCTTTAGACATTTATTAAATGAGATCATGCGTGGAAGTCAGTGAGTACAGTGTCTCATATGTATGTGCATGTGTATATGCTCACATGTATAACTGCCTAATAAATGTTAACTCCAGGGAGCTTTCCAGGTGATGCTAGTGGTAAAGAATCCACCTGCCAGTGCAGGTGATGTAAAAGACATGGGTTTGATCCCTGGGTTGGGAAGGTCCCCTGGAGGAGGTCATGGCAACTCACTCCAGTGTTCTTGCCTGGAGAATCTCATGGAGGGAAGAGCCTGGCAGGCTATAGTCCATGGGCTCACAAAGAATCAAACACGACTGAAGTGACTAAGCACGTGTGCACACACACTCTATCACTAGTATAACTAATTATTGTCAATGTTTGCTCTGGACCTGGCAGTGATGCAATCAGGAGAAAGGCTCATGGACCAGCCTGTACTTCTTATCCACTGGCCAATGCCCTAAAGCTGCCTCGTCTCAGGCTGGAAACCAGGAGGTCACATGTGCTGGAATGTTCTTCTGAGAAGAAAATGAGGGTGAAGGAATCTGGCTTGGTGAGTAAAGGTGGGAGAGGAGGAGAAGACCAAGAATCTACCAGGCCACAAGCAGTGGTACCAGTCAGGACCCTTCCCATGATCTAGTCCAGATCCTGTTCCAAATTCTGGCATCCTCTCACCCACCAGACCAGGGGTCTCAAACTCAAGGCCATCATGAAATAAATGAGAGAAATGAGTCCAATGTAAGACAACAGGGCATGGTGGGGACTATGGCTAAATGGAAAAAGCATGTGTCTTCTGGAGGCCTGCAAAGTCAAAATTAGAAACTATATGAGCTGGCTTGCCTGGCTCCAGTGGTTAAGAATCTGTCTTACAATGCAGGGGACACTGGTTTGATTCCTGGTCTGGGAAGATCCCACATGCTGTGGGGCAACTAAGCCTGTGCGCCACAACTACTGAGCTTGTACCCTAGAGCCTTGGAGCCACAACTACTGAAGCTCATGCACATAGAGCCTGTGCTGTGCAACAAGGGAAGCCACTGTAATGAGAAGCCTGAGCACTGCAACTAGTAGCTCCCCCTGCTCCCCGTAACTGGTGAAAGTCTGTACAGCAACAAAGACCCAGCACAGCCAAAAATAAAAAAAATAAATATAATTTAAAAACACTATATGGGCAAAAAACAAACAAACAAACAAACAAACAAACAACTGTGACTGGCTGAAGGGCTTCCTTTTTGAGACCCACATCCTATGGGCCCAAGGAGGGATAAGCCCCAACCTCCACCTTCCAGACTAAATTTCCCCACCATCACCACCCCAGCAGGACTCTTGAGGGACCCAGGGACTCCCTCCTGTAATTTTCTGAAGAACCATTCCCTCCAACCCTGCCTCTGATCCCTGCTCCCCTGGAGAGGGGACAGAGGGTTCTGAGGCTCTGAGGGGTCACCAATACCTTTGAGAGAGGACGAGCAACAGAGGCAAATAGAAATACAGAGACAGGAAAACTCAGACCAGGGGAGTGGAGGGAGTCAGAAAGAGCCAGGGGGAGACCAGGTGGGGAGAAAATAAGAGCGGTCAGGATGGGTTGGCTGAGGGTGGGGGAGGTCAGGCTTGGCAGAGAGCAAAGTTTTGCTTTTCGGCCCAGTGGCATGCAAGATCTTAGTTCCCAGACCAGGGATGGAACCCATGCCCCCGGCAGTGGAGGCGCAGAGTCCTAACCACTGGACCCCCAGGCAAGTCCCTAGAGGTCTGTTAATCTCCTCTCTACTGACATGTGAGGTCCAATGTGTCTTTGTTGTGGGGACTGTCTGGTGATTTGTAGGATATTGAGCATTCACCCTGATCTCTATCCCCTGGAGGCCAGTAGCGGCCCCTTCCTTTGTGACAATCAAAAATGTCTGCAAAAAAAAAAAAAAAAAGGTCTGCAAACACTGCTTAATATCACCCACATGCATGCTAAGTTGCTTCAGTCGTGTCCGACTCTTTGTGACCCTATGGACTGTAGCCTGCCAGGCTCTTCTATCCATGGGATTCGCCAGGCATGAATACTGAAGTGGGTTGCCATGCCCTTCTCCAGGGGATCTTCCCAACCCAGGGATTGAACCCTTGTCTATTACATCTCCTTCACTGGCAGGCAGGTTCTTTACCACTAGTGTCACATGGGAATCATCTGGGGGAGACAAAAATCACCCCAGGTTGAGAACCACTGGCTAAAAGAAAGTCACCAGGATCTCCATAACTGAGGCCCATTCCCCCGTCCCCCAAGACTGCACAGAATCTCACCCACGAGCTGGTGCTCTATAGACTTGATGGCCTGACCTAGAATCCCCAGCTCTGCACCTTCAGCCTGTGTGACCTTGGGCAAGTGGTCCCATCTCTGTTCCTAGATTAATTTCCTCACCTGTGAGTCGGGACGGCCCAGGTCCCTACCTCAGAGGATTCTTCTGAGTAAGAATGTCGGTAAAAATAAAGCACTGGGCTCTAATGGGTCCTTCATACGTCATTTCACTGATCTGTGTGTGGGGAGCTATTGGTTTTCTGAGAATCCAGACAAGATCTTCCAGCTAAGATCCTCAGGTTGGGGCAAGGGTTTCAGGTCCGGCCGGTGGGCCAGCCATTAGTGTGTTTCACTGGCTGGCACAGTTTCCCATTTTGAATGTTTTCTTTATATATTTGGCTGCACTGGGTCTTTATTGTAGCATGTGAGATCTAGCACCCCGACCAGGGATCGAACCTGGGCCTCCTGCATTGGGAGTGCGGAGTCTTAGCCACTGAGCCACCCTGGGAAGTCCCTCATTTGGACTATTAATGCCTCTCAAAGGGACAGTCAACACAGTCAAGATATACAGCATCCCGATTTTGGAATCAGGCTGCCTAGGTTCAAACGATGACCTTGAGGAAGTAGCTTCCTCCTTCTGAGCCTCAGTTTCCCCACGTGTACAAAGACGATCGCCATAGGACCCCAACTTCAATATGAAGAT